AATGGAGGTTGATCAAGCCTTGAAAGCTGGTGCAACTAATTCCTACAGGTGTTCCAACTTTTCTGGATTACTTACAACCCCCTCTGTCTGCATAACAGCAGTGTAGGAACACACTGTGGTACCGTACCCTCGTCAGCATCAGTTGAACAGCGCTGTACTGCAGAAAGTAGTGTGTTGCTAAAAAAAAAAAACAGTGCAAAAAACAAAATTGACAATGGAAGAGAGACACACCAGCATAACACTTAAAAATGTATGTCTTCCTACCGATAAATTGCAAAGAAAGTCAAGGTGTCAGTGAGTACAGTGGCACTCATAAACTGGGGCAAACTCTGACAGGAAGAGGTCTGGCAGATGCAAAGCCACAACTGAATCAGAGAACTGGTTTCTGAGAGTTAACAGCTTGCGGCACACAGGACAACAGCTTCAAGCACAGCTTAATAGTAACTGTAGTAAGCAATTCTCAGTTTCAACTGTGAAGAAAACCTTCAAGCTGTAGGTTTGACAGGACAAGTTGCAGAAAGAAAGCCCTCGCTAAGACGTCAGAATAAAACAAAGAGGCTTGCCTGGGCCATGAAACGCTGCCACTGGACTACAGAAGACTGGAAAGTGGACTGATGAATCAAAATTTGAAATCTTTGGTTCATCACAAGGAATCTTTGGATGCTGTCAAGTAAGCAAAGGGATGGTTACACATTGTGTGGCATCAACTGTCAAATGTGGAGGAGGAAGTGTGATGGTCTGGGGCTGTTCTGCTGGATCAGTGGGTGGTGACTTGTACAGAGTGAGAGGCACCCTGAACCAAAACGGCTACCACAGCATTCTGCAGCACCATGCAGTACCATCTGATATGCGCCTAGTTGGTCAAGAGCGCCTCCTACAGCAAGATAATCGCCCAAAAGTCCAAGCAATGCCAGAACTAACTCAGGAAAAAAGAACATGATGGTAAGCTTGAAAACATGGAGTGACCAGCACAGTCTCCAGACTTACTATCCATCAAGCTAGTTTGGGATGAACTGGACAGAAGAGCGAAAACAAAGCAACCTACAAGTGCCACACATTTATGGGAACTTCTGCAACAGATATGGGAAGAACGTTTTGAAGAATATTTGATTGCTATTGTAGAAAGAATGCCACGGGTATGTTCAGCTGTTATATCTGCCAAAGGTGGCTACTTTGATGAGTCAAAAGTTTAGAATACATTTCGGTCTATAAATTGATTCCACGATTTCTGTGCTTTGCATTGCTTATTTGTAATATGCTTTCATTTCAGAGTGCAATGAGGCATTAAACTGCATAATTTTCAGTAGAAAACTGGAAAAATTGGGGTGCTCTAAAACGTTTGACCGGTAGTGTACATACAGCGGGTAAAATAAGTATTGAACAAACTAACAATTCTCTAAGTAAATATATTTCTTTCTTTTTAGTAACCTGTCCTGTCTGGAAGTTTTAGCAACCAGATCCATGATCTAAATGCTTTGTTGTGCCAAACACATTTGCTTTGCCAAGAAGAACATACAATTTTGCGTGTGTGTGAGTGTCTGTGTGAAACAGAGAGAGAAAGAAAGAATGTGAGTGCCTGTGCATGGGTGTTTGACATGAAAC